TGCGGGTACGGGTACAGGGCGAGGTGGTGTTTGGTGCGGGTGATGGAGGCGAGGAGCGAGACGCTCGTGCAGACAAGGAGGAGGAGCAGCGTCGTCGGCGTCGAGGTGAAGCCTGAGGTTTGCATTGCGCACGCTTGGAAGTTTGGGTTGCGGGTTGTGGGGTGCGGGTTGCGGGTTTGCGTCGGAGCTTGGTTAGGCGGCGGTGCGCATTTTGGGTTTGCAGGGGTGATGTGGACTGATACTGTATGGAGAACAGGCTGGAGGTTGTGGAAGGGGGTGGGGGTTGAGTGGTGCTGTATGTACAGTAAGATGCGCCTGAACTTGGTCTGTTACATACATATTTTACAACTCCTACTGGATGAAAGTGAAACAGATTTGGGGTTCAAAGTTGGAGATCTGCCTACATATTTTCGGCCCACGGAGGGAGGCCCGGAGAAAAGTCTAGATATACAACCTCTTCCTCCATCGTGTGCATGGAATTATTGGAATGTGCATGATTGTTCTATCTGGGTTGAAATCCTCTTTCTTGGAGTGGTATTTGCTCCTAAGATTGCCTAGACTGTGGATGCTTCAAGTCGGTTCATCGTGATTACTGCTCCGGATACCTCTTAGGCCAGCTATATGCTTTTCAGATCTGAATCTCATGCCAACTAACCAACCAGATATGCAGCACCTCCCACTCCTCGTCGTTGAGCTATCCGAGGATGTCAAGCATCACGGCAGCCAGATGACAACGTAAGGGTGGGCCGGTGGCCCCAATATCTTCCTTGCTTTCCGCCCCAGCAGCTCTGCTATGGTTCTCTTTCTCCAAAAGGCGTCTGCAGATCCTATTGCAATATCTCGGGCTGCTGCTCTCAGTGAAACTGAGCAATCCTCAATCATTCTCCCCGGACTGTTCTTGCAACGCCTTTCTGTACTTCGCACTCGCTGTTGACACAGCCGAGATAGTCGGTCCCAATAGCTGATTCACCACCTCTGCGCCTCCCTTGATGGCTTTCAAGTCCATCTTCCGCTTCACACCGGTGCGCTGTTGGAAATCGATTGCGGTTCTTTTGGCTGCACGAACAAGTTCGTTTCGCTCTCCATCAGCGTCATCTGCTACAGCCTTGATTCTGTCCATTGCTCGATTTAAAGACTCCACCAGGGATGCGATCTCATTCGCACGGCTTGGGTCACCCGACAGAAAGGCAGCCCAAAATTGATGGAGAAACTCCGTTGTACTTGCATGGGTCAAGGTGACTCGTTCATAAATAGTTGCTGATAATCCCATTTGAGCAGGCATGTCCTGTGTCTGCTCGCTGTGCTGATGCACGAGGTCCATGATATGCGAGTAAGCTCTTGCCGATGGAGGAACTTCCTTTTCCTTCTCGTCGTCACTATGATCGTCGTCCATTTCCTGGTCAGAACCATCAACCTTGATAGCCGCAAAGCCAGGTTGAGGGAATGCTTGTGTCAAGTCTTCACAAACGGATCTGATCGCTGCTCCTGGATCCACATATGGTAAGGACTGACTCTCCTTTGAGTCTTCAGCCGTGTCCCTGGAATCCGTAAAGAATCGGCTCTGATCCCGAACGTTCAGAATAATTCGATTCTGCTCAGGGTCCCCTGCCAAATCGCGCAGTCTCAGATTCTCATACGTAGCCTCGTCCATACCAATTGGCTGAGAGGGGTCGATGTCTGATGGTGCTACTTGCGCCATGAGTTTTTCGCTCAAGGTGTTCAATGTGCGGATAATGGGAACTTTCTCGAGAGACTGAGGTCGAAGCTCTCGGTATGGAGCATTGCCTTTGCGCTGACTGTGATGCTCTTCATTTCCTTCCATGTCAATGATACGCGGCACCTGCATCTCTCGCTGGGTCTCTCGGCGTCCAGAAAATTCTTCGGCATCCAGATACTGATCCAAGACTGTGTCGGTGGCATCATTTTGATCAATCTTTAACCCTCTCAACTTCTTGAAGAGTTTGCTTTGGAAGAATCTTGACCAAAAAGCTGTCTCGTCGTATGGTTTGGGTACCACATCATCGTAAACCCGGAGAACGAGAGGGTACTGGGCAAATATCAAGTGAACATGCTCCTTACTTAAGCTCAATTTCTTTTCACCCCCATCAGAGGTAGGCTTTAAGGTGGAAAAGACGTTGTACGACCCTCTGGCTTGACTTCCCGCGATGGCATGTGCTCTCAGTAGATGTATCCTCGAGGCCCAGAACTGTGCTGTGAATTGCGTATTCGAGAGAGATTCCGGTTTCAACTTGCGAGACTCCTCAAACATCCTCTTCAACATCGGATCGTCTCTCATAAGGGATTGCTGGAGGTCTAGGTTGGATTTGAGCTTCTCATCATCCTCCCACACATTCCCCCCTTTCCCACCGGAGATGGCATTTGCAATAGCCATGGCAGCCGACGACCCGCCACTAATAGCAGCATCGCTATTCTGCGCGGCCTTGTAGGCCTGAATAGCGGTTGTCAAAGCTTCTTTGATTGCGTTCGCTTCGGCCCTTGCACTAGATGGTGAAGTGAAAGCGAAGACATGTCCAACCGGCTCAGTCTGTCCTTTCGGCTGAGCAAAGATCTTGAGCATAACCTTGGCACTGCTTTCAGGCGTCTGCTGCAAGTTCGTGATAGTAGATACCGTGATCACCAACGAAGGCGTGGCATCCGGGGGGTTATTTGGTGTCCACGAAACTGCCTGCCTGTCCTTGGAGATGGCCAGAACACCATCTTGCTTTTTGTAGACAGCAGCACCCCTGGAGGGAGCCATCTCTGGCCGGCACTGTGCTCTGCTGTAAAGACGAAATGGTTCGAGATATCGCTAACACCTCATGCGAAGCATCACTTAGGCGCCACCAAAAGTGAAACTTTGGTGGGTCCGTAGGCCACTACCGGCGTTTTGCATTCATATTGTACTGTTTCTCTTATTGTCAACGTGTGGCTAGTATTCCTGTTGAAGGAGAAAGTCACGATCATATGAGTAATGGGGAGTACAGCAACACTTAGGAGGCGGCTGTTGCTCCATTTGATATCTGGCAGTGCTCCTAGGGCGGGCTTTGCGGCATCATGCGCAGGTAGTGACTACTACATATGGGGAATGCTCACGGGGTATGGACATCTAATACTCGAGATCAAAAGATGGAATGCGCATAAGACCTCTCTAAAGAAAGAGTCTGCTTGTTATCATGTACATTCCCTATAGACATCCTCTCAGCCTGACCTCATGCACGAGATGGCTGTGACTGCAGGTGATGTACTCGGACATTGAAGGTAAGCCTTTCCACGCGCGACCCATCCTTATATCTGCCCAAGCTTCTCTTCCGTCTTGAAGCCCACATTCGAGGTCACGAATGACACGCATGGCGGCAGATAGCTGAAAAGATCGCTTATCCAGGTCTAGACCATAGATAGATTACCAGTATGTAGACTGCATACGGCCTTTAGTAGGGGTGCCGCGGTTGATCAGTTTCTTGCTGTTGAGGCGCAGGGTTGGGTGATATCTTCCGTCGCCCGGTAATGACCTTTCGCCCCAGGCGTCCAGACTCCCCAGGCACATCTTCAGCCTCAGCTGTCGTATCCTTATCTCCTTGAGTACCAGTGTGATAATGGTCCTCTAAGCCAATTGACTCCATGGTCTGATCTGCTTCTTCTGGTTCTAATGGCTCGGCTGAGTGTTCTAGGCTTTGCTGGGCTGCAGGTTCCTCTGCTTGCGCAAAATACAACATCCAGGTTTTTAACTTGGTGCTGTATTCGTCAGGACTATCATTCTTCCACGCTTCGATGAATGCTCTCCCGCTGGAGCGGTCCGGGATGTAAGTTGGGTCGTCGCGAGCTGCTCTATCTAGGTTTCGTGGGTCGATCTGGGCGCTGACAAAGGGCGTTAACTACTCCAGGTCAGATATTGTCTTTTGGCATGGTTTAGTCGCGATGCTGCCCAACGAGCAGATTTATTGTCGACGGCTCTGTCTTGACACAGAAGGCTGGGAGAAATACCAGTACGTACTCTGGTGTCCTTCAGATCAGGACAATTGTAGTTGCGCGCTTTTCGGTAGTCGATAACGTAGCCACCCCATTCGGTATGTGCTCCCATGGATCCCGTCCGGTTGCCTTTGTAGTAACCTCCATTGACTTGCTTGGTCGTCAAGCGCAAACGAGCTGAAAGTGCTGTTGACGGCCTGACCATGATATTGTTGGTGCAATTGACCGAGTGATTGAGGGTGATGAGCTCAAATCAAATGCTGACCCACATCTTACCATGATCCTGTCGCAGTTGCTGGGTTGTCACACTCTGGGCAGGGTCGCAGACCTTTACAAATTGCGTAAGTGGTCTTTATCGACAGGCAGAAATTTTTCGAACTCTTGGCAAATTCACAGAAATAAATGGCGAAATTGCTGTTTGAAATGGTAGCTTGTGCTGATATAGTAGATCCTTATTCCGAGAATGCCACGACAATCACACGGCCGATCTCTTACTACTTCAGCCACTTCGCGACCACCAAGGCGTAAACCAGCACGGAGCCGGAACCTGGATGCCTTTGCTATAGCACAGCAGGAGGATTCTACCAGAATCAGAGTCCGACGAAATAGATTAGGAGAGATTGAAGAAGACACTCATGGCAAAGCAACATTCGTCACAGGAGAACAGAATGATGATGTCCGTTCTGCTAAACGCCGGAGGACACATGGTCAAGGAGGTTCTGCAGATGAAGAAGATGCAGGTGACGATAGCGAAGGACACAAATGGCATCTAGGTGTCGATGATGACGATGAAGACAGTGATCTCGACAGTGATGAGGCTATGGGCGAAAGTGATGAAGAGAAATTTGCATGTTTCACTTTCCGCGGAAGCAGCACCAAGTCGTCCAAGACACGTCCGCGCATGAGAGGTCTCGACGGTTCCAAAAGCCTGACGAATATCGATTTACGAGAGAGCACAAAGGAAGATACCAGCCTCGACAATGGCAGCCAGTCTACAAATGAAGATGAATTCGGCGAAGGTGCTGTTGATCTTGCTACGGTACTAGACATGAACGAAGAACATGAAGGCGAAAGAGAAGAACTGGGTGGGACTGGCCCCAAAGCTCGGCCAGAAGAACTCGACCGACCTCGAATTCCAGACGACAGCGGTGGCTGGTCTGGTGAAGACGGATCTGCATCCGAGGATGTGTCCTCTACCCTCTCCTTTTCTGAGGACGAGGATTCTAGTGTGAATCATGCTAGGTTAAAATCCTTCTTGCAAGACCTGGAAGAACATGGACCGTCTAATGCGCCGTCAAAACGGCCCCGACCACCAACCGCGGTGGGGGAGCCATCGGATTATGGCTTAGCACCTTCACAGAAGCTTACAGTGGCAGACCTGCTTGGCTCTGTGACAGATCCGCGTTTACGCGACTCGTTGAAGATGCTGCATCACAGCGAGCAAAAAGGCTACAACATCTCGACAAAAGGCATACCAGGGAAGCTGGAACCACCACTCCCGAAGAGGCAACAAGACAGGCTGGACCGTGAAGCTGCATACAAGAAAAGTAAAGAAACACTGAGTCGTTGGATTGATACCGTGAAGCAGAACAGGAGAGCGGCGCACATTTCGTTTCCACTATCAGACCCTGATGCTCTTGCAGCTCTTGCAACGAATCAATTGCTGCCTGTTTCTGAGTCAGAAGCTTTGACCCCTCTAGAGTCCGCCATACGAAGCATTATGCATGAGAGCGGTCTCGCGTCCGACAAAGGTCAGTCCACAGAAGGGAAATTGCAAGCATTCGAGGAGCTTGAAGAGAAGAAAATGCCGATTGAGGAGGTACAAATGCGACGTGCCGAACTGAGGAGAGCGCGAGATCTAATGTTTCGTGAGGAATTGCGAGCACGGCGCATCAAAAAAATCAAGAGCAAGGCATACAGAAGAGTACACCGCAAGGAGCGCGACAAGCATGCACAGGAGGAGCGAGCAGCGTTGTTAGCGGCGGGTGCCCTGGATTCTGAGGATGAACGTGAAAGGCAGGATCGACGAAGGGCAGAGGAGAGGATGGGGGCACGTCACAGGGAAAGTAGATGGGCTAAGGGAATGAAGGCGGCTGGCCGCACCGTTTGGGACGAAGATGCTAGGTTGGGAGTAAACGAACTAGCCCGTAAAGAAGACGAGCTTCGGAAGCGAATTGAAGGTAAAGATCTAAATCGATCCGATGAATTAGTGGTCGACTCATCCGACCAAGAGTCTTCTGATGACATTTCTGTCGACGAATATGATGAGGTTGAAGGCCTCAGGCTGGAGCGAAAGCTGGCAAACGTGGAAACTGCAGATCGAGCAAATATCGCAGGTTCAAGGCTTAACTCGATGCCGTTTATGCGAAAGGCTGAAACCGCCCAACGAGCATTGAATCAGGCAGAAATTAAGGAAACTCGGCGCATTCTGGCGGCAGAAGATGGGGAGAGCGAGGATAAGGACATAGCCCTCTCTGACAGTGGAGGACGGCGAAAGTTTGGACTGGGACAGCAAAGCAAGAGTGGGCAAGCGCCTCGACCTGAGGAGAAGAATGGGTTCGAAGAGCCACTGTCAGAAAACGAGGCCCAGCAGATGAGCCCGGCTGGAGAAGAATTATCTAAGCCGAGTCGACATGTGTTGCGAAAGGAACAAGCCATCGCTAAGAAACCGACTTCGATGCAATCTCATGCTCGCGAGGAGGTAACCGAATCCCTTCACGAAATTGACAATCCCTGGTTATCCGGACCAAGGAACCGCAAGTCGGGCCTCACGACAGGCAAGTCCATCATATCGCCGGATATCGTCTTACAGGATCAAAGAATGGCTTCAAATGCTCCGAACAAGAGGAATTTGAGCTCAAAGACAACGCAGGTCCCTCCAGCGATAATAGGGGAGCTGACCAGCTCATCTAACTCGGACGAAGAGAATCCAGGCCAGCCTACAGTGCGCACGCGGCTGCCGAAGCGAAATAAAGAGTTGGTTCGCATGGCCTTTGCTGGAGATGATGTGTTTCAAGCCTTTGCCGAGGAGAAAAGGGCGACCATGGACGAACAAGGCGACCAGGTCGTGGACACTTCTCTACCGGGTTGGGGCAGCTGGACTGGTGCAGGGATCAGTAAGAAGGAGCAAAGACGTGCCAATTCTCAGAAAACAACAACCACGATCAAAGGTGTTGATCCAAGTAAGAGGAAGGACGCCAAGCTCGAGAGAGTCATTATCAATGAAAAGCGAATAAAGAAGGTAGGACACCACCCTGGTTGCGTTGCTAATAGTTGATGCTAATACCGAATCTAGAATGCCAAATATCTGGCATCTGAGCTTCCACACCCATTTGAATCACAACAGCAGTACGAACGATCTTTACGCCTACCCCTTGGACCAGAGTGGACGACAAAAACCACTTTTCAAGACACCATCAAACCACGTGTGCTTCTCAAGCAAGGCATTATACGCCCAATGGAGAAGCCGTTGGCTTAGCATTTACCTTTATACATATATGGGACGTCGCAGCGGCAACCAGCCAAGGACTGACGAATTAGGTCGAATGCCGCACGTTATGCTTCACGTTCAACTCCGTTAGGATGATTTTCAGGTTAGGCAGGTCCGTATGAGTTTGTGACCACTACGGAGTACTGGAAATCCCATGGCCCTGAGGACTAATAAGACGTTCAATTTGAAAGTCCTTGCTAGACCAGCCAAAGTTCGTTTATTGGTGGACCAGCCGCGCTACGAGTATTCGTGACCTCGCGAGTTACGTAGTAGGCTGCCCAAATTGGCGATCAGCCGCTCGGTTGTCCGAGCCGAGGAGAGGCATATGCAGTAGTATTTGTTTTGCGTCGGTGGTTCACAAGACCTGCATGCAAAGTATTACGTAGTAGATTATCCTACCCATAAAGCGCGACCATCACCGCTCCAGTCACAAGAAGAGAGGATCTCTATTGAGTGGTCCTCTGGAACTTACCTTGGAATACAAATCCATCATGATACTTCTCACGACCGCTGACCATGGACATTCGAGCCTCCTCAAGGGGGTTCACGTCAAAGACCACATACGCCAGCGTGATCCTACCCATGGTTGCGTCTTGGTGGCCTCGCGGAGGCCTCATGGTCTGTGAGGAACGAAGGACCTGAAGTTCAACCCCATGTGACACTGTCTTGCTGAGAAACAAAGGACGTGGTGGTGTATATATATATACTCAACACTTCCGAGACAGAAAATCTCTTGAGGCCCATCGCTACTGATCCAGTGCCCATTGCCGCTTCTCATCTCAAGTACCCGATCTTACCCTTCTCGAAACAATACTCGCGCCTTCTTCGTCAACCTCAGGCTGGTCATCATCGAGCTTGAGATAAGCGAAGCTTCACTCACTACCTTCGAAGGTAAGAGTCCATTAAATCTAGACAAGCGCCTTCCTGTTTCACGATCTCTCTTTTGTATGAATATCAACATCAAGTCGATCTCGAATCCTCCACCTATCTCAACCTACGTTGTCCGTCTCCCTTTCTGGCATTCTCTTGCTCCTAGAGCCTTTCGCATTCCTTACATACATACTATTCTCTACTATTGTTCCGAGGCCTGTGTCTTCCAGACAAGCTTTCAAGCTGCATTCGAAATTCCTGGCTGGCGCTCTGGTATGCTGGCCTCTAAGAACCATCTGGTCTCGATCGAGCAATCTGTTTTGTCTTCCCTACTTGTTCTTTTATATCAATCTGAAGTACCCTGCAGTTTCGTAAAAAGCATAATCCAGTTGTTGAAGCTGCTTTGCGTCTGCAAGCTCTTCCCTCATCTTGTGCTGGCATACCTACCCTCCACTGCAGCCAACCCATTCTGTCGGGTTGACCACCCTGGTGCAGCGCTGGAGAACGTCTATCATGGATTGCATTGAACTGTGAAATCTTTTTGCGCAGAGAAGGATCAGACTACACCCCCAACAACCTTCTTTTTTTCTTCTGTTTCCACTCTCGCTGTTCGCGTTATCCAAAATTGCCTTGGCTACGACTATGCTGCTGCTGATATGGTGGCAAAGAATACTAACTTTATCACAGGTCATTCATTTGGCCGGAGCGCTACCCCGACCTCAGGGCTTCGGTCATTCTTCAACGAACTCCTCAAACTTTCATTCCAACTCCTCGCAACCGTCAACAATCGATCTTCCCCTCAAACCAACAAGACCGACGTCCTCCGCCACAGTCATACTAGTAAATGCCAATTTGCAGTTGCAGGTTGTCACCTCAACCGACCTACCGCCTGTACAAGTTCCCACTTCTACATCTGCAACGCAGAGCTGGCCGGATACGAGTGGGGTAGGTGCCGCTGCTGGATGAATGGAACCGCCATATACTGACGCCTCACAAGAGCATACAGAGCACTCTAGAGACGGGTGGAAATCCTACTATTCAGCCATTTCCAACAAGCCTGCCTTCGGTGACAGGCTCTACCCTCTTGCCCCTTACGACTTTCGCTCCGTTCACCAATGCGACTGAGGTTCAAGAACCCACGACCACACAAACCATTTCCGTCCCAACCACCACACTAGAAAGCATTGTCACGCAATCAACAGTAGCAACCTTACCGTTGGAAACACTCTCGACCTTCTTGTCGGAAACTACTCATGCTACCACGATTACGCTAAAGAGCTCAACGATAACGTCGACAGTCGAGAGCACAGTAACAGCAACATCGACCTCTCTGACTCTGGTCGTGACTACACTAGTCGCCTCAAGCACGTCGACCACTATCCTGGCAACCACAATTACGACTAACGGTAATCCAACATCTATTCCTACTGTTGCTCCAAATTGCACCTGCGACATGGGTCCCGAACAAGATATTTTCCTACCAGTTGGTCTTGGAGCTCCACCAGCCAACATTGCGCGGCGAAGTGGTCATCCAGCTCCGCGCCTTGGCATTCAGAACACCACCAGCCCTATTCCGACCAACAAGTTCTATGCCAATTTCTTCCTTGGAAGCCAGGGTCAGAGTACATTCACTCAGCCGTATAGCATCTCCTGGAGCAGAGGTGGTGGAAATGCACAGAGCTGGGGCATGGCCATCTCACATATCGAACCTGGTCAGAGAGTATTCGGTCCTCCACGAGCTGGCATACCTGGGTCTCCAGCTTCCTACTTTATCAACCCTATCGGCATCCAGTCGATCGTCATGTCGGCTTCGGAACTGAGAACATCCACTGTTTTAACGTCCGACTCGCTGCAAGCCTTCTCTGCCAATATCAATCTTCGGCCAGACTCCGGTTCCGCCTCGTGCATCACCTTCCCCGTCGTGCAGGGTATGGGCTTCGTAACCGGGCTTTACAATAATCTGCAACCAGTTATTCAAAGCAGCGTTTTCTTCAGAAATGTCGTCTCGGCTGAGCCTCTTCGACAAGGCACGTTCAAGTATCGCATCGCTTTGGAGGATGGTACAGTGTGGTTGCTGTACGCCATGTCTACTAGTGGTGTCGATCCAAACTTTCGACTGGTCTCCAGCACACTTCTCCAAGGTCTGCCCAGTTTCTCTGGTGTGATCCAGATCGCAAAGAATCCTGCCTACTCGGAGTCCACGTACGACGATGCAGCCGGAGCATATGCCACGAGCGCGACTGTCTCCGGCCAAGCAAACGGGTCTACTGCTTCCTATAGTCTAACCTGGACCAAGGGAGGGCCAAATGCTGATAAGGCGACTCTGCTCATGTTTGCAATGCCGCACCACGTTGAATCTTTCAATGCGACAACGAGAGCTCGCATTACGTCACTTCAGCTGTCAACGACAACCAAGGGAATGGGAACTGCCGTGGCCGCCGACTCTTGGACAATGCTGGAGACAAACTTGCCGATTGACATGGGATTCGCGCCTTGGCGGCCTACAAGTGGTAATGTCTCAACACTCTCTGACACCGCGATCAGTGCAATCGAAAAGGTCTCCGCAAGTGAGGTCTCGCAAAACATGTCAGCCCAAACCAATTTGGACAGCATGTACTTCAGCGGAAAGGGCCTCAGTAAGTTCGCGACTATTGTGTATACGATGAACGAGCTCTCGGGACAAAAAGGACTTGCCGCTGCGGGATTAGCAAACCTGAAATCTGCCTTTGCTGTGTTTGCCAAAAATCAACAGCGATATCCACTCTTTTATGACACCGATTGGAAAGGTGTGGTGTCATCCGCCACATATCTCACTGGTGATCCTGGGAACGATTTTGGCAATTCATTTTATAATGATCACCATTTCCATTATGGCTATTTCATCCATGCTGCTGCCGTCATCGGCTATCTCGACCCATCATGGCTTGCAAAGAACAAAGATTATGTGAATACGCTTGTTCGCGATGCCTCGAACCCGAGTGGCCAAGACCAGTTCTTCCCCGTGTCCAGATCTTTTGACTGGTACAATGGTCATTCTTGGGCCAAGGGACTTTTCGAATCTGCTGATGGCAAAGATCAGGAATCCACCTCGGAAGATGCCATGTTCGCCTATGCTCTCAAGATGTGGGGCAAGACCACTGGAGATGCCAGCATGGAAGCCCGTGGTAATGTCATGCTGTCGGTACTGACTCGAAGTCTGCGTGACTACTTCTTGCTGGAGAAGAACAATGTTAATCAACCGTCCGACTTCATTGGAAACAAGGTGACAGGCATCTTGTTTGAGAATAAGATTGATCACACTACCTACTTTGGGGCCAACCTGGAGTATATTCAAGGGTATGGATACCGTATGCTGTCCATGAGTGCCTCATACTGACCTGGGCAGAATTCACATGGTCCCATTGATGCCGTTCTCAACATTGACCAGGAACGAGAATTTTGTGACTGAGGAGTGGAACACGTATTTCAGTGATGGGATGGTCGCACAAGCATCCAGTGTTCAAGGAGGATGGAAAAGTATCTTGTATGCTAACCTGGCCATCATTAACCCTAAAGCAGCTTTCAAATTTTTCAACCAAGAGAATTTTGATCCTAGTTGGCTTGACGGTGGTGCTAGCAGGACATGGTATTTGGCCTTCGCAGCTGGTATGTTCTGGTCTTTGGGTGCGGTAGTCCCGGTCACTGATCCGTACCACAGGTCTAGGAGGAGCACCCTGACAAGGAGGATGAGGCTGGACTGTCTTCTTTGACACAAGGACGATGATAGACAGGCGTTGTGTATATGGATTGTGCAGTTTGGGTCACTAAAGGGAGGCTGGGCGAGGTCGATCCATTGGACAGTTTTGGCCGGTTAGAAGGAACAGCTTGATGAAAATGGGAAGACACGGGGCTATATTCTTGACTTTGCGATACCCTATACAGTTTTTATGAACCAAGACCTTATGAACCAATCCTGTCCAACAATGTGAAGCAAGATATTACCTTTCCGCCCCATGTGTGAAAGGCATCTCCCGTTGGGTGTACATCCGCTGTACTCCGTTCTGACGCAAGTTAGATATAGTGCTGGGATTCGACGGGTGAGGCAACGTGTTTTCTATCGGATCTCAGCGGTAGATAAGCCCACTAAGGATGTGTCACGTTTCATGGCTGGTTACCATTGGTCCAAGCAGCGGCCATATTCTTCCCTCATGCAGTGGGAGGAACTATACTTCTACACAGCCACAATGCCCAGACCTTGGCAGCAATCTTTCGCGACGTCAAGTGCATCAGCTTGCAGATGTGACGGGCTTCTCGCTGTTTTGGCCCTGCAAGGAACTTTAGCTGCTGCAGCTTCCCCAGTCTCAGAGCTTTGCTCGTTCACCTTCTCCCACCCCCCACCTACTCACTACATACGAGAGCTTCGTCATCTCGCTTTTAAAAACTTCTTCCATCCTTCTTATCCGCCAGTCGCATTGAGTCTTTTCCAGATGTGTACGTACCATGCGTTCAAAGATGCTTCCTCTGCAGCTCTAAAATCCCGCTAGTTGGGAAAATCCTGGGATCGCATCGCGGCTCCCTACGTCTCTAAGCAAATTCCATAACTAGCAGCTGACGCTGATGGCAGCTGCAACTTCGATCAAACAACACTTCCAGCGTCAAGGGTCAAGCCACAGAATGCCGTCGCAGGCCGAGGCCGAAGGCAATGGCAGCATTGCGCCAGACGTTGCCAATGAGCATACACATCTTCTTGGTCGGATAATGTCAACGGACTCAGGGACACCATACTACAAGAGTGAAAATGCCTACATCCGATGGCCAGCAATGGTGCTTCATACAACCTGGCAGGTTCTCATCAGCAATTATGTGAATGTGTTATTGGTCTTTGTACCGCTTGGGATCATATCAGGAGCTATGCATTGGAACCCGACCGTCATCTTTATCCTCAATTTCTTCGCCATCATGCCGCTGGCGTCGCTTTTGAGCTTTGCGACAGAAGAACTCGCCGTTCCTCTAGGTGAAACGCTTGGGGGCTTGATGAACGCAACTTTCGGCAATGCGGTGGAGCTTATCGTAAGTTGTTTATCCCAGCGACTCTGTAGTGAATGATCGTAACCTTGGTTTAGGTCAGTATTGTCGCCCTCAAGAACAATGAGATTCGAATTGTCCAATCAAGCATGCTTGGTAGCATCCTTTCGAATATCCTGCTTGTCCTTGGATGCTGTTTCATCGCCGGCGGTATCAAATATCACGAACAGAGCTTCAATACGACTGTAGCCTCCACCATGTCATCGCTCATGGCCGTTGCGTCCGCATCTCTCATCATCCCGGCAACCCTCTATGCGGCTCTAGCGAAATCAAAGAACGTGAGTTCGGAAGACAACATCTTGGTTCTGTCCCATGGCACAGCCATAATACTGTTGTTGGTCTACATTATGTATCTTTTCTTCCAACTCAAGACTCACGCCGACCTGTTTGATCCCGAAGGCCAAGAGGGAGGCGCCTCTCAAGAAGCAGAGATTCTTGGACCGTGGGCTGCGGGCGCGGCTCTGGTGGTGGTGACTGTGGTGGTTGCGATCTGCGCAGAATTTCTCGTTGACAGCATTGACTCGATCGTTGAATCAGCGCACATCAGCAAAACATTTATTGGGCTGATCCTGATTCCCATCGTCGGAAATGCCGCCGAGCATGTCACTGCAGTGGTGGTGGCTTACAAAGACAAGATGGATTTAGCAATTGGCGTGGCAATCGGTAGCAGCTTGCAAATTGCTCTCTTCGTCACGCCCTTCCTCGTCGTCCTTGGTTGGGCTATGGACAGAAAGATGACTCTACACTTCGAGACCTTCGAAACGGTGGCGTTCTTCTTGTCATCGCTAGTCGTTACACTCTTGATCCAAGATGGGAAGTCGAACTATTTGGAAGGCGGTCTCTGCATTGGAATGTACGTCATCATCGCTCTCGCTTTTTACGTGTATCCCGAGGACACTACTTTGGATCTGGTTGGTTGGGTTGGAGGACTCGTGAAAGGGTAGGATGCGCTCTAACGCCTAGAAATACTGGTTCTCAGACTTCGCATATTCGATTCTGCGGTCCTGTGTACGGTTTGACATGGTGCACTGGTCTTAATTCTGTTGGATTGTATAAACTCAGGCGCTTCCATGTCTTGGCATCGGAGTATACGGAGTTGTGCACCAAAAGTAGTCAGAATAGGCTAAGATCTATGTGCTAAGAGGTGTACTCTTGCTAATACCATAGTAATGTCATTCCATTGACTCCTCCTCTATCCCTTGTGCTGCGTTTTGGATCCCTAGGGATCCAGCCGCACGCAGCACAAGGGATAAGCATTGGGCATGTTGATGCCCTAAACAGCCAGGCTTTAGATGACCTTGACCCCCAGCTGTCTGATTTTAGGCCAATGTGCCCTAGAATAGTGGTTGCTTAGTAGGAGACATAGTTGGAATGACACTACAAGAATATTTCTTGATCTTGGCGAGCCAACTCTTAATGTTATTTGACTACTACGCACTTTTGGTACAGGATTCCATACTCAGAGGCTCAACTGATTGTAATTTGACGTTTAATAGGATCTTCTTCACTCTCCTTAGTGGAATTTCCGAACTATATAATGACTTGGTACTTATGTATAATGTCAATCCATGGTGCGTGTAGAGGTCGTGTGGCGCGGCTATAATCTGTGCCAAGTCAACTCGGAGCAGAACTCCAAGTTGTACACGATTGACTGGTACTGTACTTACGAGACCTCTAGATTCTTTCCTAGTGTACAGAATCGGTTCTTGATGTTCATCATGTCTCCTCGATTATATCTATTCGGCGCACGCTCTACTCGTCTTAGAATTCAACCTTCCCGCCACACTCCCCGATCAGCGTCCTGCAAAGCGCCACAGCAACGATGGATTACCGCTGACGAGAAGCCACTTCCAACGACTGACGAGCCAAAGGGCCCAAATCAAGAGCAATTACCCCATGTTAGTGAAGAAGCTGCAGCGGTTGACAAGACAATGGGTGAGGCGGCACCAGACATAGGACAGGGCACTCCAGTTCAAGATGTGCGTTAAATGTGGTTAGCGCTGCAGAACGTCAACTGACACAGCTTCCTACAGATCCTTAAAAGGGATCCCGAAGGCCAGGACAAGGCGCCGAAGGTGATTCAAGAGGACATGAAAAAGTCCAATTCACCAAGCGGGTCGCGCTCGTACTCAACCAGCGCGAGGCGAAGTTCTGAAGAGTTGCAAATGACTTCTTCTGCTGGCGAAATGGAGCTTCCGCCGTCAATGACCTTCAAAGATATACCACACGAGATGGGTGGAGAGGGTCACAAGTTTGGTCTGCCTGAAGTTCCGTTGGCAAGAACCGATCATTTCAAGAAGAGATATCACCCCGTGGTGGATCAGTTTACAAAGGCTCTGATGAAACATGGGAAATTAGGTGCTGCGCAAAGGGTAGAGTTGACAAATACATCTACGATCGTGGTGTCAATTTTACTAAATGTCGTGATAGGCTACTGCCGATATTCTCAACACCCTTCGTACTGCTCCTCCGCCTCAAAGCAGATCATCGAAGACTGGACACACATTACTTCCCAGCGCAGGCCCTCTCAATCTCCTTCCTCTGTCCCCTATACAGTACCTGACTGCTGTATTGGATTCTGTGGCACCGCTCGTCAAGATCAGACAGCAAAAAGGGTTGGCAGGCGGAGGAAAGGCATTACCAATTCCAGAACCCATGAGTGTCAGGATGAGGAGAAAAGCCGCGATCAAGTGGATCCTGGATAGCGCAGGCAAAAGGAATGAAGTAAGACTGGCAGATAGAGTCTCCAGGGAGATCATCAATGTGGCTGAGGGTACCAGTTCCGCCTGGGACAAAAGACAGATAGTCCATAAGACTGCGGTAGCCGCCAGAATCAACGTCAAGGCGATGACGATGAAGAGGAAATAAAAGTTGACTTTGGACAAGGCCTTATGCATCATCTTGTGATTAATACCCGCTTGAACAACGTTTGTGTATTTGGATAGTAGAGTTCTCCAACGTTCCGTAACAAATCCCCATACTTCAGCCCTATCGGACTTTAGCCGGGCGTCAGCCTTGGTCTGCGGCGAATGTCTTCCAAATACCATAGCTCTAATTTTCATGCTCATATCTCTCTTAGATCTCTGATACAGACTGAGGCCATTCGAGCATGCGCAGGCAACTCATTCCAGCATCTACTGGCTCCAGCCTTGCACATAACAGAATTTTGCAGTGATTCGTACCAGATTGCTCCGATCGTAACATGTTCCAGTCATTTACAGGCAATTCCCGCAAGCCACGACAAGTCAACCTCTCTGGTCAGAATGCCAGCGGCCGAAAAGGTCTGAAATCTACTCAAAAGCCGAATGCCGCCTCTCCAGGAAGTCAGGTCGCTATCGCCCAGGCCCAGGCGCAGCGCCTACAGCGAGGACAAGAGCGAGAACGGTTAAATGCAAGCAAACTTTTGCAGAGATCATGGCGGGGTCATTCTAGCCGACAGAAAACAAGGGAAGCATGGAGAGCAGAGTGGGATCAGCATGAGCTCGCAAGAAGTCCGCCGTCTTCAGACGTGGCGAGTCTGCTACGAGACACACTGGATGATGGCAAGGGTGCTTTATCTTACGAATCCGCCGGCGCGTGCTACAGTCAGTTGAGGCTGTTACTGCACTTCCTTGACATTCAACTGGACATGGATCGGTCGAGGCTGATGTACTTTGGTGGAGCCTTACAGAAGACCCTTGAGGAAGTCCCCTCAATCGCCACAGGGGATTCGTGGACAATGCAGCTCTATCGGTTGTCGAAGCTCACCGTCGAAGCACTCCGCTCGGTGGCTTTCGAATGGACAAGTCGGACTGCTCATCAATCTGAATCGTTCTTGTCACTACTAGTCTTCCTCACGAGATTGATACCAAAGCACATGGCTAGAAATGCCGAAAGATATTATCATGTGCTTGCAGTACTCCTTCTTCGATACGGCAAAATTTCCGCAAGGTTGGAGGAACGAGCTGCTAAAGCCGTACTTGGACTTCTCACCCCAATAACTGCCGAGACTATGACCGCTTACACCGCTTTCGGGACAGAACTACTTACCGTGCCAGATACGCTTGTCCGCATCTCAGCGGATAGGACGGTCGCGCCAGAGCTAAATTATAAGATGCTAACGACGGCTTTGAACTGCGCTATACAAGAAGATCGGGAAACAAAGTTATGGCTCCTTCGTGACAGAAAACGTTCATTATGGCTGCTTGCGCACCTCATTTTTCTCCACCGACACTCGTTGGGTGCGACGAGGAACTTGGAAGTCTCACAAGAGATAGATCACATCAGGCTGCTATCAGCCTTGCTGGCTGCTCAAGCAAGTGAAATCACCAGTCGCGTCGACATAATCGACGAGTCCATGATCGACACCACGAGGCAAAAATACACTCGTTCGGAGGCCATGAACATAATGCCATTACCGCCGTTCATTCGAGAGCAAATTTTGACGTTGATCCAGAAGACTAGTATCGTTGGCATGATGTCTCAGATTGGGCTCACAGTGTCATCTGCAGGGAAGACAGGTTCCGACGGCGCCCAAGCACTCGCAACTTATGCTCTGACCTTGACAAGAGTCTTTCCTGGTCAACGCGCCGACGAGATCCGTATGTGGCTGTATGATGGATCAGCAAACCTGAAAACATCTACTGGTACCTCCGCTATTCTTTATTTCTGGCACTACAGTCGATCGACTGCGATTTTCCAGAGAATCTCACGAGATCATCGTAATGCTGTTCCACTTCTAAGATCATTTTTAGGTCTTGACGAATCCATGTCTGCCAAAGCCCTGCAAGATAGTCAACAGGAATGGAGAATATTGCTCCTTTTCTTGGAATTATACTCTTTCGCGATCAGAATTATGGATGATGAGGGATTTCTGGCTGGGGGTCAATTTGGAACAGCTAGCTCGACTCAATGGGGTGGCAAAATTCGAGAAAGCTCGTTACCGTTAGAACAAGTCCGGGAACTTGTCATTTTTCTGAAGAATTTGGCATTTGCGTTGTATTGGAACTCCAAAGATTTGCAAGAAGGGGACCATCTGGAGCAACCAACTGGTCTGGCAGCTTATTTCGGCAACGCTCCTCCAAGCTCTCCATCTAGAAATGAGGCTAGACCTAAAATTACGTCCCAAGACTCTGCAAGAGTTCAGCTGAGAGATCTAGTCACAGGACTTTTAAGATCCATACATCAACGAGAGTAAGTGATCGTCCCACATTTGACCGCAATATTGCTATAGAGCTAATTCTCTTTACAGTTCCCGTCGCAAGTTCTTCTCGGACGGTTTCTGGCTGATGAGCTCTCAAGTTGACATGTCTGGGTTCATTCCGGCTGTTGTAGCAGAGGAGGAACGTAGGCATGAAGCACAAGATGGGGAAGATGAAGAAGAAGACGACGACGATTTGGCAGGCCTAGATCCGGGAGATGTTGGCGGCTTGGGTCTGTATGATGCTTATCGTGCTCCCCGAAACACACGTCAGCTGCAGATGATGAAGGAACAGAAAAGAAGCAGACGTATGCGGCAGATGGAAGCCGTTGCTCCACGTCACGAAATACTCCAAAATCTTCCTTTTTTCATTCCCTTCGAAACCCGTGTCCAGATCTTTCGAGAATTCATTCTCAGAGATCAACAACGCAGAAGAGGAGGAATTATTGATCCAGACACTTGGCGGCTGTCCATTGTACAGTCTCGAGACATCAACCCCGAGACAGGCCGGCCGACGGGTATAGACATCTTACAACGGCACCATGCGAATATTCAACGGCAACATATCTTCTCTAGTGCGTTCGATCAATTCAACAAACTTGGCGATGGACTCAAAGAACCTGTTCAGATAACATTTATCGATCAGTTTGGATCGGAAGAGGCAGGAATAGATGGTGGAGGCGTCACCAAAGAATTTCTGACCAGTATAACAAAAGAGACGTTCGATCCTCTGAACGAGGAGCAGCTTTTCGTCGCCAACGAGCAGAATCTGCTGTATCCAAATCCAGGGAAATTGGATTCATATATATACTTACTCCGTGCTGCTGGCATGCGAGATAAGACTGCAGAGATGGACGCTGCCGTGAAGGAACTGCTGGCCCGCTACCGATTCCTCGGCCGCATTATCGGGAAGTGTCTGTACGAAGGGTTTCTCATTGATGTCAGCTTTGCTGGATATTTTCTCCTACGATGGGCACTTACTGGTGGTACTACCCAGGCGGCCAAGGAGTCAGGCTATCGACCCACTATAGACGATCTTCGTGAGCTGGACGAAGATCTCTATCAGGGTATTTTAAAGCTGAAACACTACGACGGCGATGTAGAAGCAGATTTTGGTCTGAACTTCACGGTTGTAGACACATTTGAAGTCCCTGCACCTACACCTTCGAACCCGCATAACACCGAAACAAAATCTGTTACCCGCCCACTCATTTCCGGTGGCGCAGATATACCCGTTACGAACATCAACCGCCCTCAATACATTTCCGCTCTCGTCAACCACCGTCTACGCACCCAGTCCCTCTTCCAAACCAACGCCTTCCTCCTCGGACTCGGCGAGATCATCCAACCGATGTGGCTGAGCATGTTCGCGGCGACAGCCGCGAGATCGACATCTCCGACCTCCGCACCAATACCGTCTACTCTGGCCTCTACGTCCTGGGAGACAACGACGAGGAACACCCGACCATTAAATTATTCTGGGACGTCCTCCGCCAGATGGACGACCAGGACAGGAGGAAAGTTCTGAAATTCGTGACGAGCACGCCCAGAGCGCCGCTGCTGGGGTTTGGACATTTGAACCCTAGGTTTAGTATACGGGATTCCGGGGCCGGGGATGAGGGCAGGTTGCCCAGTACGAGTACGTGTGTGAATTTGCTGAAGTTGCCGCGGTACAGTAACGCGAGGGTTTTGAGGGAGAAGTTGCTCTATGCCGTCAATTCGGGGGCGGGCTTTGATCTGTCGTGAACGTGGAGGGATGGAGGGGGGGGCTCGAGATGATAGTTTAGAGGATCAGGGCGGACCGGTTAGGTCGGGACAGGACAGGACAGGACAGGACAAGACATGGAAGCAGTCACGCCGCAATGATGGACCAATGATATTGTGGCTACGAGAGTGGATGCATGCACATAGCGACGGTGTTGTTTTTCTCTTCTACTACTACTTGTCCTTACGGGATTATGAAACGTTCAATAGATACATGCTAAGCGAGCATCTTGACTCTCCGTTCTACATCTGCAGAGAGCCGTCACCCTGCGGTCCATTAGACTCAAAATACATGCTTCCTCTCAGGGATAACAAGAAGTATCCGCCTGCAATTAGATAGTAGAGAGTTTGAACTAAATCACTCATCATCACTTCGCGTACGGCATGTTTGGCCGAGACAGACCTGGAGGCGGGCTTTACCTGGAAGTGTGATTCTTCAACCCTTGCTACAATTTTCCTACACGTAAATTTCCTTCTCTGGAGGAAGGGCTGTTCATTGTTGGATGTCAAATTCTGGCCAGCCATGAACCACAAGGCGTCCGGACCACATATAGCCTTCGTACCACTATCACCACCACCACCACCACCACCTCCTCCTCCTCCTCCTCCTCAGCTACCTTCCCTGTAGAAAAATAATACCCGGGGTAGGCGTTCTACATCCAAAACCACGCCCCAATCAAAATCAGCACTCGGCCCAATCTCAGTCACTCTTGCGATATACCGGGCGCCCTTGAAGCGAGAACTCCATTGCCTAGTAACGAGCAAGAGCTATTGAGAAGGAGAAGAAGGGGATGGGGAAGGAGAGTAACATGAAGAAGGAGTGGAATCTCCCGTCTGGCTTAACTCTGCTCTCACCTGTGTTGGCAGCATAATAAACCTTGGCAAATATGCCGCACCACCAGCTCTGAGAGTCGTTGCGTAAGGAAGGACTGGGTTATGACAGTCCCCGCCGGGTAAGGGGAGGTCGAGTTGAGATATTGCTTGCTAAAAGAGAGGGTTTGAGGGTTTCCTGGACAGATAGGAGATGAGACTGGAAAGAGGGGATAAATCTATGGTTAGGCCTAGTGCGGGAGGTTTGAGGTGGGAGAAGAGGTTTTGGGCGGATGGGTGGTAAGATGGGAAGAGGAAGAGTGATGGAGACGGGGATAGGGATGAGGATGAGGAGGAAAGAGGAGAAGATGGGGTCAAGAGTGAGGGAGAGAATGGGTTCGGATTTGAGGATGGAGGTGGGAAACGTGACGGGAGTTCGAATTTATGGACTCATGAGATGGAATCTGCATCTGTTGATGAGGTGTAAATATCACGACGTAGGAGATCCAAACCTTCATATCCGGAGAATTTGGTGTAAAGGTGCCCTGTCTCTTGAAGCGTGAGAAATGCTGAGCTGATAAACAACCTCTTCTGTATCTGAGCTCGCGGATCGGCTTTTGAGACCAATCTATGAGCTTACTTTGCTTCCCCATTCACCTTGGTGTTATCATTTTCGAGGATGGAAAATAAGGGTTTAGCTACGCGTAGGCTACCCATGAGGGGTTAAACCTGTCAGGTAGGGATGTCAGGTACCCATCCGACGGCACGCTTGGCCGCTTCGGCCCCTAACCTATAGGCTGCCCTCGATCGAAGGCCTCCGGTACCTTGAACCTGAGCTAAAAGTTACCCCTGCCGCGGAAGAAGTCATGCTGTCTACTACGTACGCAATCCTGATAGACCAGCCACTTCCATCCAGCTCAGACCTCATGTTCTTGCGACACCTTTGGCTGCGCTGGATTTCATATCACACTCGTTGATATACTTCCTACCGACGACTTTTCTTTCTCTGTAGCCGCGGAATTTCGAAGTTCGACTGTTCCACCGTTTCTACATCCGAAATCTCAATCCCATCTATCTGCGGTGCAACGGCCTGCCTCCAAGCAACGGGATTCGCCGTTTATCACTTGCTTGTTCCGAAAAAAGCATCCCGAGTCGGTACATCGATTGTCTAAACTGTGTACTTCCAGTTGTGAGACCTTTCGGGAGAACCGTCTGTCCATTGCACAATTGTACAGCATGAACCATCAACAATTGGACTGATGGTACGGTGTGCAAAAACTTCCGATGCGCAGGCATCACACTTGCCAGTGGGTGTTCCGTGGAGGTGGTGTCGACAAGAAAAACGTCTTCTTGAACTCGAACCAGTCGCTTGAAGGAGGTCCTCCATTTCACAATGGTATTTGATTTTCGAACCCAGGTGTCCGTCACGAAGCATGTGCTAACTGCTCGTGCACAGCTTTCTTTCCACCCCACCCATGCAGTTGGGAGAATGCTCGCTCTTCTGGCCGGCGCGGTGCTTGCTCAGTACCCGCCTCCAATTTCGAATTCTTCAGATCTAACCGTTATCAAGTCACCTGTCAATGACAACATCACTATCAGTTACAAAAGTCCTCCCATTGGCACTTGCACAACCATCTTCTCAACGCAGAAACAATACACTGGCTATGTCAGCATACCACCAGACGATGTCGTTTCAGCGCCCAATGACTATCCGATAAACACGTTCTTTTGGTTCATCGAGGCAAGACAAACTCCAGAAAGCGCCCCTTTGACTGTTTTCATGAATGGAGGGCCAGGAAGTAGTAGTATGGTGGGTCTTTTTCAAGAGAACGGTCCTTGCGAGGTTGTCGAGATTGCTAGAGACCGACTTGGAACTCGAGCGAGAGACTGGGGCTGGGATCGAAGCACAAACATTCTTTACGTCGATCAGCCCGTCCAGGTTGGGCTGTCTTACGACACTCCTACGAATGGATCCCTAAATCTCTTGGACAACCGCTTCTCTATCCCTGCGACCAGCTTACCGCCCACACAACCAGCTTACACGTTTCTCAATGGCACGTTCTCATCCCAGAATCCAATCTTCTCGGCCAACACGTCCGCAATTGCTGCGCATGCCACATGGCACTTTCTTCAGGCTTTCCTGGCCATTTTTCCACAGTACAATCCCGGAACCCGACAAAACAGCACCAACAGAAATGGCATTGTTGGAGTCAATCTTTTCACAGAGTCTTATGGAGGCAAGTATGGCCCTGCCATGGCTAAAGTCTTCGAAGAACAAAACAATCTCCGTGCTGTCGAACCGACCGCCAATAACTCCATTCTGGAGATTCACCTCGTCTCCCTAGGTATCATAAATGGCTTTGTCGATGTTTTGATACAAGGTCCATATTGGCCCCGCTTTGCCTACAGAAATAGTTACGATATTGACATCTTCAGTCTACTGGAACAGCAGAATGCGGCCAGCGCCTTCCTCGCCGCAGATGGATGCCAGCAATCTACTTCATCCTGCCGCAGCATGGCCCAACTGCTTGACCCAGACAACCTGGGCAATAATCCCACTGTCAACGACATGTGTCTTAAAGCATATCGGGCCTGCCAACAAGTCTTCAGAATCTATAGTAACAAAGGCAGATCTGTCTATGATATTGCACAGAACAACCTAGACCCATTTCCGAACTCTTATTACCTCGAGTACCTCAATACACGGCCTGTTCAAGCTGCAATCGGCGCTCGGGTAAACTATACCCAAAGCTCAGATATGGTCTTCACCACCTTTCTTGGCACCGGCGACTACGTCCGAGGTGGGCAGATTGAAGATCTTGCCGCTTTGTTAGCATCCGGAATTCGAGTTGCTTTTATTTATGGCGATCGGGATTTCATTTGCAATTGGCCTGGCGGAGAAGCGGTATCCTTCGCTGTTGCTGCTGCCGCTTCACAGCTGCAACCTTCGTACTCGTCCTGGTATGGAGCTGGGTATGCGCCAATAGTGGCAAACAGCTCTTATATTGGCGGTGTGGTGCGCCAGTATGGGAACCTGAGTTTTAGTCGTGTGTACGATGCCGGACATTTGGTTCCGGCCTACCAACCAGAAACCGCGTTCACAATCTTCACGAGAATAATTCAAGGTGAAGATGTCAGCACTGGTGAGCCCGTCGACCTCGGTTCTTTTGGCACACAGGGAGACACGAATGCAACACACACCAATTCTGCGCCAGCGATGGCGAACCCCACCTGTTTCGTACGAGCAGTAAGATCGACATGTGACAGGGATCAGCAGAATATGTTGGCTAATGGCGCGGGTGTGGTCATCAACGGTGTCTTGTACAACGCTGAGAGTGATTGGGTATCACCGGCTGGAAGTGCGACTTCGCTGGCTGGACAGCCAGGAACAGCACCGACAGCAATGGTAAGTATCAGTGACACGCCTTCGACACAGGGCAAGGTAGGTGAAGGCGCGACTACGACACGTGGGTTAGCTACAGGTGTCTACACCGCGACTACCATTCCGACAACGAGTGCAACCACAAAGGCTGATGCGAAACGACTTGGACTTGGTAGGTCGCATGCTTGGATGGCAGGGTTGGTGCTTCTGGCGACACAGCTGATATTGCGTTGATGGATGACCAAATATCCAAGATTGAGATTGAGGAGTCCCGTACGTATGTTCGCAGGTACACGCACTCCGCAACTCCGCAACATTACAGCCAACCTGCAGATGACAAACCAAAGGGCAATCCTTACAGGGGGTCCACATCGATTGATCAAGGATGTGATCTGAAAATGGATTGAGGAGGACTTTGTAACTGAACCACTTGGCTCGAATTGAGAGAATGGCATAAGCTGCGGGAACAAAGAGGTGGAAGCTCTTGATTGGCTTTTCGTCGCATGTTTTTGAAACTAAAGTACAGAGATACCCCTAATTGAATTTCTATGAAAAGTTAACAATAGTCAACAATCAATTTAGCAAGACACTTACACTATCTGCCTTTCCATCTGATGTCGGAGGCATTGAAGACCACTCAAGTTTCCGCATCATGCGGGCACTCGTATCAGATCTACCTGCGGACTTAATGAGTAATATCTTGGATTACAGACAAGAGGTTCTCGGACTCCTTGAACTATTTCCTATACCTCCACTAGCCAGATGGAATCACACGTTCTCTTCACATTTCATTACCTTTTACTTTTATCTGTTATGTAGCTCGTTTCTGGCCTAGTCGCAGCGTAAAGACGGAAAGACCTGAAGCCTTTTGGCGAGTCCAGCATCAACAATTCCATACCGGCCATCACCCAGCTCGTGGGTTTGGTAGCCTGGAGAAGAACAACAGTTGGAGAGAGAGCTCGATGGCAAGAATGGGGACGAGACCGGTATCATCTCAGTCTTTGATAACGTAGGTACGTATGGCTACATAGCACTCTGACTTTGGATATGCTCTTCCAAATGGGGGAAGACCCGGCATTGAACTGGTATGCTCTTTCCGCTTCTGGAAATCAGAGAAAGCAGTCCGCTGCTTCCACGGCTTCCAACTACGTTATCGTCGCACGCGGATTTCTAAATCCAGAATTTACTTGGTGCCCATGGATTGATGTTTTGTCTTTGGATTTGAACTATGATCAACTGCTTCTACTGCCCTTTGGCTCTCTTACAGCTCCATTCAGAAATTCGAATATTTCTTACAAGATATTGAAAAAGTAGGCTTTGTGATAACTACCGAGTGGAGCGAGAAGTGATGGCCTATAGGATATAAAGACTTACTTGATCAGCACTTCGTGTCAATAGAAATTTTTCCCCTCAAACATTGAGCTCTCAAATGAATTTCCAAAGAAAACGCGCCAAGGCACTATCAGAGGGCGACTTGCCTGCACAAGACGGGAGAAGAGACCATCCTTGTCCTCTGCTCTCTCTACCTTATTCCAACCCTCATTCTCCTTAAACCATGCTACCGTTCTCCTAATTCCTTCCAGGGTATCACAAACGGGCTCATAGCCAAGCCTAGTTCGTGCTTTCTGGATGGAGAACCTGTGCCCCGCACTGATGAATTCCAGATTTTGCCTGCGTAATTTCGGGCTCTTTCTCCCGAATGTGCATACCCAGTAAGACCATTCCCCAATACTGGCAAGCGATTGAATCAACCACATCGGAATCACCTTGACATCTTCTGGCCTCGTCGTGTCGCCTGCAGCAGCCCAAACTGCTCGAGTAAAGTCCCAGAACTTCATCGGTGCGCCATCGCTAATGAAGAATGCTTCGCCATCGACCTTGGAGTGAGGAGTGTTGTGCATGTTGTCCAAGAGCGCTCTGGCGTCCAGCACATGTGCTAGGGCAGCGCTGTGCACGTATACAAGTTCAAAGTATTTGCTGTTGTCGCCAAGCTGTATATTAGTGCGTCCTTCCTTGAGTGTGTCTCGTAGAGGAAGTATCATGGTCTTATCGCGCGGCCCAGAGAGACCTGGAACGCGGATGGCGATTGTCTTAAGAGCGGGGCCATTAGCACGGCAGACGTAACTTTCGGTGGCGCCCTTTGTACGAGCATACGCGTTTGGACCTTAAGAAAGAGGATCTCGAGGAGGAGGATCTCGAGGAGGAGGATCTCGAGGAGGAGGATCTCGAGGAGGAGGATCTCGAGGAGGAGGATCTCGAGGAGGAGGATCTCGAGGAGGAGGATCTCGAGGAGGAGGATCTCGAGGAGGAGGATCTCGAGGAGGAGGATCTCGAGGAGGAGGATCTCGAGGAGGAGGATCTCGAGGAGGAGGATCTCGAGGAGGAGGATCTCGAGGAGGAGGATCTCGAGGAGGAGGAGGTGGTTAAGAAGGAGGATATTAAGAAGGAGGATATCGAAAAGAAGGATATTGAGGACGATATCCTTCTCCTCCTTGAGACCCTCCTCCTTGAGATTCTCCTCCTTATAGATACCCTTCTCCTTATGGATATTTCCTCTATAACAAGTTATCCACCACTCTGTCATAAAATGCGCTCATTTTCTAATTGGTCGCTGCAGCCGCTGCCGCGCTATAAGCGCACCTTAAACAGCCGCTATCAAGTTATATCCGTCCATTCAAATCTTATGTCGTTTTGAGTAGACGCTAGCGGTTACTTTGACCAATTAGAAAAAGAGTGCATTTTACGACAGAGTGGTGGATAAGGCCATTTCAAAACGCATAATTTACTCATTACGAACTCAACGCCAAGAATCAGTAGTTGATATAGGGCAAATACAAGCGTCAGCAACGTTTAGAAGCAGTTTCAAGCAATTCTACGCATTTTACGGCCCTAGGGAGCTATTCCTACATCTGACTGCAATTCTGCCCCGCAGCGCCAGCAATTCGAGGGTAGCGCCAAGGAATTCGCAACAATTTTGCAACGCACAGTATCAGCGGCGAGATAGATAGCGCCACGAAAGCGAAAGACGTTCGGATTGCGGCTAACAACAACCACTCTTACACATCGACGCTCTCGAAGGAGAACCTCGACAATATGCGAGCCTAGATATCCACAGCCACCGGTAACGAGGGCAGTGCCCAGCAGCGGATCTTTCTCCGAAGCTGCCGTAAGGATTGCTCTTGACAATGATAGAGACGTTGGCTTTCACCACAAAACCATCGAATTCACGAGGACAAAGCACATGTAACGACAGCTAGAATGAATTCGAGTTCAAGTCGTGGCTTTTGCAAGACATGAAGAAGCACCGCATGGGGGAGGGCATAATCGGAGAACACAGCAGATGTGAACAAGCGGAATGAGAACCATTACCACTTAGCGTGTAAAATCTTGTATTTACAACTTCAGTCTGTAATGTTGCGTATCAACACTACAATTCATTGGCGGAGTTCCCTGTTCGCCGTTCCACATCAATAAGTCAGTAAAGTTGACCGGGCTGCCTATGCCTATGAACTGTGCATCCTTATCAGTGCCACGCATTCAGCTCGATGCAAGACGTTCAAAAGAGCAAAATTCGTGGGCTGGTTGAGGATCATCCTTGGGCCTTGTTTTGTGAATTGCGCCTTAAAATCAACCCTTGGACATCGCAGTGGATGTCTGACATCCCGCAAGGATGTGAGCGAATTTTGGTTCTACTCTGTTTGGTAGTTCATGCTAGCTCAAAACCATGCATGGATCTCGATCCTTCATCCTTCCATACATGGTTTCAAAAAAAGTCTTTTCGGACCGAAGCCTTTCGCTAAAAACCTTACAAGCAACCAAGTCTGGCGATGTGCCTTCTCTTAGACTATCAACCTTGAGCCTCGTTTTTACGATCTGACAGTAGAGCAAACCTTCAAAAGTGGCCAGTCATGTTGATCCCAATGATATTGATTACTGATGACAAAAAGATATGAATGAATTAATCTAATACAATAGGAAGAGAAGAGATGTATTTACTGTCCTCCCACATCAAATAGAGTTTGCTATTACCGTAGTAATAAACATTGGTGTTATTGACGCGGTGTTAGAGCCAAGTAGTCTTGGATTCAGTGTCACAATCTCGTCCGGAAGTCACCCTTTCGTTACTAATTACCGATAAGGATGACCCATCGCAATACGGCTGAGCCGTATGGGCTTGGCCAATCCGTCTGACATGCATGATGCAGAACCACTTGCCGGGCCACCCCACTGAGCGGGCCAATAAAAAGGGCAGAAAGCCCTCTAGAATATGAATTACATACTATGCAGAGGATTTATTACGCATAAGAATTCTCTTAGATAGGTTCAAATAAGCAGTATCGCCAGCTTCATTATTTCCCTAATTAGATGTGGATATTAGCTCATTTGAGTGGTAGAATTACTGCGTAAAGTGTGTGCAAACTGGCCCGCCAAGTGGTTCTGTACGTTAAAGCTCAGCTGTTTCAACCAAAAGATTCACGTTACTAGTTTTGCACTAACAGAACTTCTACCAGTACTAGTACGATACAAGGCCGGGGACCACACCGTTCTAGGCAAATTCAAGGATGAGAAGTATGTGAGCAATGAGTTCCAGAGACGGCTCTCGTGGGGGCGCGCCGTTGAGTCCACCCTTACGCCTGCAAGTGATACAGAAACCCTACCAAGGCTAACTAACCAGGTTGACTGTAACAGCCTTACTAGGTCATGATAAGCACCACATAGTTATGCATGTTTTATACTTTCCAGCCTTCCTCATATCACCCGAGCACTAACGAGAGCTACCTGGAATGTTCTCCTTCATGCAGGTCATGCTTAGCTAGGGTTCCACTCCTACTAAGTGAAACAAACTACTTAGCACAAGCCTAAAGCATACAAGGATATTGTCTTTCCACCACCTTCTACTACGTACCCTGCGCAAAGGATTCAGGATTTTCTATCTTACTTGCAGCATATGCCAGAGCATGCACCCTTGCGTCCGGAGCAATGACATACCGAGAAACCCTGACTTTAGCCCCAGAAAATCGAGGGCCACAACCGGACGTTGTTAGAACCTTGTTGTCTCTTTGGACAGACCTCTGTGCTGGACGGATCGACACATCGGCGCATCGAGCCTCAGCGGAAATAAAAAGGCGGAAAGTCATGTACTAATCCCGTTTATTTCCGGGAAAGAGCCTGCCGCTGGGGCCGACGAATGCATACACCCTCAACGACTTCGGATATAGATTTCTATTTTTTTATAATATCTAGTATAAGTAATTATTATAATAATAAAAATAAATAAGATTTATATAATAATATAAATAAATATAAAGAGCTTTAGACTTTAGCTTAAAATAAGCGAATTTTTGATTTAAAAAAAAGATAAAGTAAGCATTTAATAATATTATAAGAAACTATAAACGTTTTCTTTTTATATATATTTTTATAATACGTTGTAGTAACGTGGTTCACAAGCGACCCGCCTATACAAGCGACTCACCTATTTTTCTTCTACATTGTAATCTTCTAGCTATTATATACAGCCACAACACAAGAAAATCAATTATTCTCTATGTCGCTATCTTCCTCAGATGTCTCTTCAACCTCCTGACAGGTTCGTACATTATGATTAGGCTTGCCACATCTCCCGCAACGCTGTAAGCCTGATAATCTAACTTGCGTGATACCCTCTTTTACTGACCTTCCACTCAACTGCTGTTATATAATCTCTTTCTGCTTGATTAAATTATGTGCATCCTTTATAGTAAGTACACCTCTAGCTTGTACGCATGTCTTTTTAGTCCTCTAATACTTTGTAAGAGCCTAATTAGCCTTATAAAGTATATAAATCTTTTTATATAAAAGAATTAACTATAATTTATAAGATTTTAAGGTCTAAATATAATTATTAGTTATCTTTATAAATTTCTATAATTTATTTATTTAATTCTTATACTGATATAGTCTTAGCTTAGGACTAGTTTATGTAAGGGATATATATAATTAAGAGTAGTTATAGCTCTTAATAATAAATAAGAACAAACGTAAAGAAACCTTTCTAAGGAAAAAACCTTACTGCTAGTAAGTAGACGAGTTCTTCAAGGCGCTTTAACAGTGTACACAGGGCTCTATAGCTGTAGTATAGTTAAGCGCAAAGTTGTTTAGCCGCAAACGAGAACTAAGGGAGGGCCCTAGCCTTTATTAGTTATAGCGTTACTATCTTAAGGGCCTTTGGATTGTTAAGGAGACAGCAGTAATCTATTGTGCTAGTGGCAGTGAGCATCTTATATCTGTCTAAGAGTAACAGGCAGTCTATAACTCTACACCTGCAGGATAGTAAGGGAATGTCTAAAACGTTCTATTTAAAGAGGAAGTTTATAAAGTCTATTTTATTAGTCCTTAGCTATATAATAAGAGAGCTTTATACCTTAGTTAGGCCTTAATATATTCTTAATCTTTACTTACTAATTTCCTTACTTTAAGTAAGGCTTAAGGCTTACTAGAGTACTATTAGATAAGCGCTTTATAATAATTGCTAATTCTTTAACTAAGATGCTCTAACTATTTAATAATAAGACTAGTATTATTATTATACTTTTATAAGTAATATAGCCGCTTCTTATAAGGGTTTTTCTTATAATAAAAAGTATTTTAAGACTTAATTTAACTTTATTTTTGTATTAAGCTTAAGAAGATATTATTTAT